TGTGTCTTCAAGTATGTCCAGAATCTAACTACTTCTTATCACATCTACTGCTACTTGCCTAGTCCAGGACACCATCTGTGTTCCCCTGGATTATTACAGTTATCTCTAACTTACCTCCTCAAGGCACTTCTCTCTTCATAACCCTCTGTTGACTTCCATTTCATTAAGAGGAAAAGCCAAAGTTCTGGCTATGGCCCATGAAGGTATACATGATCTGGTTTCATTGACTCTTTGACCTCCGTTCTTATTACTCATGCATTCACACACTCACTCCTTTCAAACCCTTCTGATCGTCTTGCTGTCGCTTGAACACGCCATGTGTTAGAGCTTTTAGAGCCTTTGCACTGGCAGATCCCTTTTCCCTCTGTGTTCCTCCTGCACGCATTCCCACAAATACTTATAAGCAATCAGGGAGTTAGGCAACAGATAAAAATTATCTTTCTTTCTCTGCTTTTTTTTTTAAATCAAGAGGATATGTAAAACTAAGAAGTTTAGCTAGTACTCTTTCAGTTGCAAGTTAGCTTAAGAAATAAAAAGGGAGAATTTACCTATTCACAGAACTAAACAACTCACAAGTAAACCTAGCTTCAAGCAAGCTGGATATATTAGGGGGGTTAATAGCTGTCCTCAGAACTTACTGATTTCTCCCTTCATCTTGTGAAACAGCTTGGGCCCCAGGCAGGTGTTCTCCACCTGGTAGTTTCAGAAACTTCCAGCTGCAGGTTCTCTTGGCAGACAGAGAAGGCAGAATTTACCTGCCTTGCAAGTCCTAGCGTGGGTTACCTGCCCAGCGGCAAAGGGATGTGGGCTTCTTGCTGCTCTGGGCTGGCCCACAGGCACAGCCCCCAAACCACTCATACTGAGAGTGGAAGAATCAAAAGAGAAAATTAATTACAGAATTGAGTCAAACCTATTTGTGCAAACCAAAAGAATAGAAATAGCTGAATTATTGCAAGGACAGCGCTCTGACCCCTAGTGGTTAGATGACGTGGAGAAAATTCAGCATTTGTTCAAAGCCAACAGCAGCTTCATTTATTTCACATCATGTTTTTATATCATCTTTTTTCAGTTTACTTAAGAATATCAGTGTCCTTCCTTTCTATCCTCTCTTTTGAAGCCGTCACCTGTATGGGGCAAAATTTCTTTTGACACACTTTCTGTCTTCTCTATCTCAACTGTCACCATCTTTCTCCTTGGGTTTGTATTTAAATGTTGTGATAATGTCCTAACTTATTTCCTGATCTTCAAACCTTTAGGAAAACCAACACCTGAAAAGCCTTCCTAAAAACTGCATTAGTTGTATAGTTTTCAGCTGGGGAGTTTACTCTGACGCTTAATCAGATCCAACCAAAAACCCTGGTCTAGCCTCAATTTTCATGTGCTCCTTTCATTCTTTTTTTTTTTTTTTTAAAGATTTTATTTATTCATTTGACAGAGAGAGACACAGTGAGAGAGGGAACACAAGCAGGGGGAGTGGGAGAGGGAGAAGCAGGCTTCCTGCCAAGCAGGAAGCCCAATGTGGGGCTCCATCCCAGGGATCATGACCTGAGCTGAAGGCAGATGCCTAATGACTGAGCCACCCAGGTGCCCCTCCTTTCATTTTTTTTGCTGATGAAATTACAGCTAGCTTTCTGTCACAGGAGATGGGAAGCTAATGTAAATAATAATACATTCACGTAATACGTGTTGACCCGCTGAAATTTAAAAACTGAGAACACTCATACTTTTCTGATCTCATGTAGGAAATAGATTAATACATTTTAAATCTTGGGGCGCCTGGGTGGTTCAGTGGGTAAAAGCCACTGCTTTCGGCTCAGGTCATGATCCCAGCGTTCTGGGATCGAGCCCCGCATCAGGCTCTCTGCTCAGCAGGAGGCCTGCTTCTCTTCCTCTCTTTCTCTGCCTGCCTCTCTGCCTACTTGTGATCTCTGTCAAATAAATAAATAAAAATCTTGAAAAAAATACATTTTAAATCTCATTCCACTAAACTGATCTAATATTCTACACAGAAAACTTCATTATACTTAGTATTTTTCAAGGGTGAAGTAAGTGCAGAATTTATTTCTCATGAAAAGACATCGACTGGGACAAATTTGTAAGTATACTAACTAAAGACTCAGATTGTAAGCTAACACTAAATAAAATATGTGGACCTAAGTGTTCATAACTTTCATGTTTCATTCTTTCTTTCTTGGTTAATGGCTGAGATAGTAAAGATTGTAACCTCATTGTTGTCTACATTTTCTTTTCAATTTTCACTGTAAAGACAAACATAAAGAATGGAATTGATCACTGAAGTCTTACAGATTTTATTGTACATTTCCCTTATTTTTGCTTTCTCTCTAGTGTTTTTCTCTGTGTGAATTTTTGCATTTTTAATGATAGTATACAGTTTCTTTCTTTTGAAGTATTCATATAAAGTTGTTAAGAAAGACCAGAGCAGGACTATCTAAGTTTCAGTTTTCTTTTCTGTGAAAAAAGGATAAGAGAGGGTTGCTTGGGTGGGGCGTTGGTTAAGTGGCTGACTTTTGGTCTCAGCTCAGGTTATGATCTCAGGGTTGTGAGATCAAACCCTGCATAGGGCTCCACGTGCTCAGCTCAGAGTCTGCTCGAGTTTTTCTCTCCATCTCCCTGTGCTCCTTATCACCATGCTCTCTCTCACTCTCTCTCTCAAATAAATCTTAAAAAAGGAGGATAAAATAATAATAGTACTACTAATTTATAGGATTATTTATAAACCAGTAAATTATAAATTATCAAGTGCCAGTTTGATTTTATTTACATACTGTATCTTTATTTTTTGAATAAGTAGTACACAGGCATGATACAAAAATAAAAGTTAAGAAAGGTAATACAGGGAAAAGTAAATCTTCCTGTAGTCAGTGTGTATACACACACACACACACACACACACATACACATACATAGGTGTGTATATACACTGTAAACACTATGTTGCAACTTTCTTTGTCCACTTAACAATGACTTGGGTAGTCCATTAAAAGCAGCCTTATTCTTTCTTAAGAGAGGTATAGATACCATAAATATATTTAACCATTCCCTGTTCAGAAGCCAGAGAGGTTTTCTGGTATTTTGTTATTACAAGCAACATTTCAAAGAATAACCTGGCACATATGTCATTTGGTGTAACTGTGAACATTTCTGTAAGATAAATTCCTAGAGGTAGGGTCAAATGGCTTTTCAAATGATTCCTATTAAAAGCGTCCTCCCTTCCATTTCCCTATTCTTCACAGCCAACAACTCCATTTAGGTTTTCAATATTTATTCATGTCTGAAGTTTTGCCCTCAAACCCATCCTCCTGAAAGAATCAGCTGCTCAGACACTTTCATGTTACCTAATACATCCAAAATTAGGTCCAATGTCTATTGTAGCAAACAAGGCTCACCTTCATGTGGTCCCTGCATTTTTCCTCTCCAGCCTTCTCAACTATCACCCCCCCCTTTATACAAGAGTTTATATATACAAGATACAATATACAAGAGTTTATACTTCAGGCCTCCGTGCACTCACTCTTACTATCTCCCCACCTGGAACATCTTCCACTGCTCTTTTCCCCCATGAGGAGTCATGACCTCCTTATGTATGTAAGAGGAGGAATCTCTCCTTTGTGCTCCACAGGTCCCTGGGCATTCCTCTTCCAAAGTGATTGCTTTTTTTTTTTTTTTTTTTTAAGATTTTATTTATTCATTTGACAGACAGAGATCACAAGTAGGCAGAGAGGCAGGCAGAAAGAGAGGAGGAAGCAAGGCTCCCTGCTGAGCAGAGAGCCCGATGCGGGGCTCGATCCCAGTGGCTCCGTCCCAGGACCCTGGGATCATGACCTGAGCCGAAGGCGGAGGCTTTAACCCATTGAACCACCCAGGCGCCCGGTGATTGCTCTTTTCTACTGAAACTATATCCTTGAAGTATCCTTGAGGTAGGGAGTTGTCTTTTTCCCCCCTTTCTAGCTCTAGCATCCAGCGTCTTGCCTGAGATCATGTGGTGTGTACTCAGTAAAACTTCTTTCGTGAACTCAACTAGATCTTGGGGGTCAGTCACTCTTAGTTAAGATAGCTTATGGAGAGGCCATTAAGTGGAAGATTATGTGCTAGGCAGTGGGATTACAGTGAAAGAGATGGGGCAGCGTAAAGGTACAATTCTGATTCAGCTGGGTGAGGACTGCAGTGGGCTCTAGGTCATAGTTTGGATTTTTTTTTCATGGATATGGCGAGCAAAGGGTAGCATTGTAATTAGAAGGAATTACACTAGCAATAAAGCTCATGATTTCTGTCTTCTTCATAGCTAATTGTCTTCGTTTTTTAAAGTGGAGATGCTCTTTCAGTAAACAAGGTCAAGGACAATGTCCTGAGTAAGAAATGATAAAGTGAGAAAACACATGGAAGGCAAATGGGTCAGAATCAGTATACTCCATGAAAGTTCTTTCTGCTAAACTGCCTTACAGTTTAGCTGCCTTCCAAGCCTTAAGAAAACCCCTTGCTTGGTGTTAAATGATCTATACTGTTTAATTCAACCGATCTTTGCCCTTTTCTACCCTCTTCTCCAATATGATCTCTTTTCACAAAAGGTTGAGGGAGAAAGTAAAATGTAATGAAAAGAATGGGTTCTTTCAGAGCTGGGCAAAATTGAATTCAGCACAGGGGACTGCTACTACTAGTATAGTAACTTCAGTCAAGTACGTACACTCCTTGTTTCCTCTTTTGTAAAATAACAATAACAATAATAAGAAGAAGAAGTTGGGAGATAATGTTTATGTTAAGCGCTTACTACGGTGTCTGTCACGTAGTAAAAGCTCAGCAGAAGCTACTATTAACTGCTTTTAAGAACCTGAGGTTTTGGTGTCGATTTTCACTCTTGCAATCAAAGGAATTCCGACTGTAATCTTTACCAAAACAAGTTAGACCTGAACTCGCACTTTCAGCGATGATGCAATTTGACCTCTTCGGGCCACCGTCGCCGAGCATGCGCAAATAGAGGTGGCGGGACGTATGTGTCATGGCGAGCTCCATCTGAAGTGTTTCCCGTAGCCGCAGAACAGCGTGTGCTTCTCTCTGTTTGGGCTGGTAAATTGTTTCCTGATCTCTGGCTCAGGGTGGCGGGTGGATCAGTGTGAGGCAGAGCGTGGCTAGAGCTTCTTTAATGGTGGAGCCTGTTTCTCCAGTTTCGGTCTTTCTCGGGCGGTTTGCTGGTTTGTTTCGTAGTTGAAAGGGGACTTGCCAGCTGGGGTCGGGGGGAATTGAGAGGCGTGGAGCGCTGCCAGAAGTGAGGACCGAGTCGTTGGCGTTAGGTGCTGGAAGGGTGTAAGAAATATTTAAGGGGCCTCGTTCCTTATTGTCAAATCTAATTTCATTCGTTCTCCCACTTTCTGTGCCGAATTTGTGGGATGGGACGAGGCTTTCGCAGTTACGTAGCTTTTAACAGAGCTATATTTCCTGAATTTAAACTGAAGTTGGCTAGAAGGGCCAATGTCTTGTGGTTTTTCAGTTTTGTTCCCTTTTACTCATAAAACCTCCCTCTGAATCTCGGGACGGCAGTGTTTTTCTCGTGGATGGTGATCTGTATACCTACCTCATTGCCTAGTTTCCGCTTTGTAGTTGGAATTACTCGAATAACGCAGACGTGTTGTAGTGCTGGGTTCGGGTGATGTTTATAACTGTGGCCAGACGCTCCACCACCGAAATGGCAAATAATGGTGGATGTAAACACACCTGACCCGTAAGATCGGTACGAAGTTGGAAGTAGTGCGGAACATCATTCACCTTGCTGCACAAGGCAGTCTTTAATGAAGTCTAATCCCTTTTAGCTAGTCTTAAGGAGTTCTTAACTGTGGGTTTGTGAACTTGCTGGGAGCACGCTTTTTCTAATCCGTTTTTATTTTCCAGACTTCCCAGAGGATTTGAGACCAATTGCAGATAATCAAGGTACTCCTTTATTTCAAACTTTTTATGCTTGCATGAAGTGTTACACACATTAGAAAGTTCAGAAAGGCAGCCTAGTTTCTTAGTAATGTTGCCACCATCATTCTATGGAAATATCATTCTCTGCGTATCATGCTATATCACCAAATCTAAGAGACTTTTCATTCACTGTACTTTTCATCTACATTCAGAAGCACTGACATTGTTGGCCTCTTGGACATGTTCTCTTTGCCTTCTGTCACCTACAGATTTTCTCCCTTTTGGGGTTGCTGCTTCTTGGTCTCTTTTATAGGCTGGTTCTCTTCCGTTTGGCAATTAAATTTGGACTCCCTTAAGGCTTGGTTCCTAATCCTTTTCTCTTTCTTTCTGGGTGGCCTAATCTACATCCTAGTGAATGCTGTTTTAATTAATTAATTTAATTTTAGCCCTCCTAGTGGGTGTGGAGTGGTAGGTCATTGTGGTCTTGATTTGCATTTCCCTTATAATCATGTTGACATCTTTTCATGTGGTTGTTGGCCATTTGTACACCTTCTTTGGAGAAATATGTATTCATATCTTTTGTCACATTTTACATTGGGTTATTTGTCTTTTTATTGTTGACTTCGATAATTATTGCATTCTGATACTGGATGTTTATCAGACATATGATTTGCAAATATTTTCTCCTATTGTATGACCTGTCCTTTCACTTTCTTGATGGTGTCCTTTGAAGCCTAAGATTTTTTTTTTATTAAAGATTTTATTTATTTATTTGTCAGAGAGAAAAGGAGAAACGGAGTGCATGTGCAAGAGCACATACTCAGGAGGAGGAGCAGGCAGAGGAAGAAGTGGGCTCCCTGATGAGGAGGGATCCTGATGCAGGGCCTGGGTTTCAGGACCCCAACATCATGACCTGAGCCAAAGGCAGATGCTTAACCCACTGAGCCACCCAGGTGCTCCTCATTTGTACATAGTTTTCAAAAGCTTATCAGGTGAATACAGTGAGCACTCAAGATTGAGAACATCTGTCCAGGAGAATGGTGGATCTCAATCAGGAATGTTTAGTGGAATTACCTGGGCAGGTTTTGCCTTTTTTTTTTAAGATTATTTATTTATTTATTTGACAGACAGATCACAAGTAGGCAGAGAGAGAGGAGGAAGCAGACTCACTGCTGAGCAGAGAGCCTGATGCGGGGCTCTATCCCAGGACCCTGAGATCATGACCTGAGCCAAAAGCAGAGGCTTTAACCCACTGAGGCACCCAGGCGCCCCTGCGTTAACATTCTTAAATGCCACTCTTGTAGATACTAATTCAGAATGGGACTTGGATATTTGGTACTATAAAAGCTCTCCTAATAAATCACACATGGAAATCATACTACTGTAGGATATTTCTTTTTTCTTCTCATCATTTTTAGTATCTCCCTTTTTACTGATGATTTTTATTCCCTTTATCGAACTTGAATTCCTTTATCTTTTGAGAAAAAAGTTTATGATTCTGTTGTTACCTTTAAATATTGTCTTGCTTTCTTCTTAGTCCCAAGACTCATTTATAAATTTCTGAGGGCTAACAATTCCTCCTACCAGCTTGTGGGAAGTAAAAACTTCATTGATGAGTGAGATTTTTTTTTTTTTGAAGACTTTATTTATTAATGTGACAAAGAGAGAGCACAAGCGGGAGGGCAGCAGGCAGAGGGAAAAGCAGGCTCCCTGCTGAGTAAGGAACCTGATGCGGGGCTCAATCCCTGGATGCTGCGATCATGAGCAGAGCCGAGGGCAGATGCTTAACCGACTTTGCCACCCAGGTGCCCAGAGTGAGATTGTTTTAATGTGCTTGTGTTAAGCGGCCAGATTTACCATCCCCTGCTTTTGTATTTGTCTCCTTTGTTTCTCTGAAGTGAATTTCTAGAGATGGAATTGCTGGGCAAAGGATATATGTGTTTTAAAGTTTGGTCGGTATTGCTAGAAAGCCTTCCAGAAAGGATATACCAGTTTTACCATACTTTCAGCCAGCAGTAGGGCTTTTGTCAGTCTTCTTTTTTTTAAGCAGTGGGTAGACAAAAGTAATTTATTGTTTCAACACTTGCTGTTACTGTGCTCGAGCAGTATTTCTGCTGCTTATTGGCTGTTTGCATTTCTTATGTGCCGGTTTTTCCTTTATCCCTTTTTTCCTGGAGTGTCTTTATTTCTTAGCATAGCATTAGACTCTCACGTGGTCCGGGCTTTGCCAGTGAGGCGCAGCTATGGGGGAGTGTGGTGCTGAGAGAAGGCCTGGGTTCTAATTCTAGCTCTGTCGGCGCACAAATCTTTTTCTTTCTCTGGACTTCAGTTCTGTAAAAGGAGAGGCTTAGCCTCTCTCTTAGTGGGCCCATCTCATCTCTCTTTCTCTGTTCTCTTTCCCTTCTTTGGGTCCATACACAATGCTGTATGGGATGTTAAAAATGTAATTAAGAGGGGCACCTGGGTGGCTCAGTGGGTTAAGCCTCTGCCTTCAGTTCAGGTCATGATCCCAGGTTCCTGGGATCGAGCCCCGCATCGGGCTCTCTGCTCAGGGGGAACCTGCTTCCCCCTCACTCTCTGCCTGCCTCTCTGCCTACTTGTGATCTCTGTCTGTCAAATAAATAAATAAATAAAATCTTTAAAAAAAAAAAGACTCAGCCCAATTTTCAAAAAAAAATGTAATTAAGAAATATGGCTTTCAATTCAGAATCCTTCAGGCGTTCTTTAGTAACATTTGAGGGTACTATCTGGTCTTAGCTTTCGTCACTCACCTTATTTATTTCATGGACTAATAGCGATAGAAGAAACTTTGAGGGTTATTAGATATTTGCTTCAACTTCACATCCAGTGTCAGAATTTCCTCCTATGTTATAGAGAGACTAGCTAAATTTACCTTAAGCATTTTATTAATTCATTCACTCGGTCGACAAATACCATGTGCCTGCTCTGGGCGAGGCATTGTTACAGGTGTCATAGATGCTGTGGTGAGAAAGAGGAATTATGTTTTTTTTTCCTTATGGAGCTTACACTGCAGTGAGAAAGATGGAATTATGTTCTGCAGTTATGGTGTCGGCTTAGAGGTCATTGTGAGTGTGTGTGGGTGCTTGGTCTCTTTGTGGTTATTTTATTTTATTTGCCTGAGACTGAGAGAGGGGGGGAGAGAGAGAGAGAGAGAGAGAGCGAGTGAGAGCGAGAGCGAGAGCTTACGTGTACAGGCAAGGGGAGCAGCAGTCAGAGGGAGAGGGAGAAACAGACTCCCTGCTAAGCAGGGAGCCTGATGCAGGGCTCGATCCCAGGACTCTGGGATCATGACCTGAGTCAAAGGCAGGCGCTTAACTGACCGAACCACCCAGGCGTCCCTGTGTGGTTACTTTGGATGTGGTGGTTAGGAGAGGCCTCTCTGAGGGGGTGTCATTTGAAGAGAGAAGTGGCCAGCGAGCCATACAAATATTTGGGGCTTGATATTCCAGTCAGTAAAAAACAGGTGTGAAGACCGCCAAGTCAGAAACCGGTTTGGCATACTTAGCGAATATCTAAAAGGTTTAGTATAGTTGGGACAGAGGGAGTAGCCAGGGGCCATATCTTGTTAGACTTGGTCAACTACAGTAAAAAAAAAAATTATTGAGAACCTGTGATGTGCTAGCTGCAGTGTTAGGTACTGCTGGGATAAAGCAGTGAACAGAGCACACAAAAACTTTTACCTTTGGGGCACCTGGGCGGCTCAGTTGCTTAAATGTCCAGCTCCTGATGTCGGCTCAGGTCATGGTCTCAGGTCATGAGATCAGGCCCTGTGGCCAGCTCTGCTGAGTGTAGAGCCTGCTTGGGATTCTCTCTCCCTCTGCCCTTCCCTGTTCCCATGCGCTCTTGTATCTTTCTCTCTCTCAGTAAAACAATAAACCTTTACCTTCGTGGAGTACATGTTCTGGTAGAAAAAGATTAAAAATTAATGAGAACCTCTGAGTGGATAATAAAGTTGCTGTGGTAAGGAGACAAATCAGGGAAGGAGAAGAGCAAGTGTGTGTGTGTGTGTGTGTGTTTGAGAGAGAGAGAGAGCGTGAGAGAGCGCACACGCGTGCACGGTGAGGTGGGAGTTGCTCATAATGGTTTCAGTGGTGACATTTGAACAAAGTCCAGAAGGCATCCCAGACAAGGCTAAGACTGTGGGATGAATGTGTACTGGTGGGTATGAGGAAGCTCGTGTG